ATCTTTGCCAGCAGCCGCATTGTACTTCCATTGCCCTCTCAATCTCTGTTCCTCTTCTGAATGCACACTGGAGAACCGAAGGAGTGCCCTCTCATCTCTGCCCCAGATTGTGTTGTATTTCCATTACCCTCTCAATCTCTAGCAATCTCTCATCTTTCAAACAACGGTTACAGAAGAGGACTAGAGATTGAGAATACTATGGAATATAGTGCAATTATTGACAGAGATTGAGAACTGTGCGAGATATTGCGGAAGGTGTGATTAGCAAGCAAAGAGGGGAATTCTCGCTCCGGTCCGGCGCTACTGAGATGGGAGTTGGTTTGCGAGCGTCGTTGACGCTTCATCGCTGAATAGCGAGCGGGTTTCCTCGAAGATTGGGGGAGTCGGGTCTGTCGGCTCTTCGTTCCTGACTGGACGTTTATTTATGTTGATCACTTTTGCATCGGCCAGTTCTGCACGATATTTATGACATAAAGGACAAAACGCAAAATTTGTGTTAATAGTATTTCAGCTTTTAAACATATGAAGAAGAAACAAAACTTGTACTGCCAGTAAATAGCATACATTAAAAGTGAAAAAACCTTCCAGGCTGTTTCATGGTTCATGAAACTAGTTGCAAAACCGCTTCATGAAAGTTGTACATTTTTCTCATATGACTAAAAATTTTAGAGCAAACGTGGAGAGAGGAATAAAAAAAAGGAAAATGCTGTACTTTTTCTTGTATGCATATGATCTGGATGATTATACAACAGCTACTCAATAAAGTCTTTATTTTTCGCTCTAAAAAACATCCAAAAAAGTATGCACATTAACAAAGGTATATTAGTGGCAAGTCCAAAAGCGTCAGAAAACAGCAAAATCAAATTTCACAAGCCATTATTGATGGTATCACATATTAGATACAGTGAGTTATGTTTGAAGTTTACAATGTAAAATCAAACACGGAACACTATTGTTGGTACCATCCATCTGATACAAAATAATTAAGTTTAAGGATTACCAGAATTATCGAAAATGATTTGGCAATCAATTTCAGGATTCGTATTAATTATGTTACTTGTGCATATATCCACGTATTGCGCATAACTATGCCAGATTTTTCGATCTAACAAATTGCATGCCTGCAGTTAGTAAGTACCGTTGACGGTATACAACCAACCACACTGCTTCTTCGACTGCTAACAGAGTAGCAGCCACTCGCTGGTACATGACATCTTCCGATTTTCAGTAAAGCGAGCTTTTTGCTCATTCCTCAAATTTCAATTTTTGCCGTGGTCTCAACAATATCTTGCACATCGTTCAGAAGGCACAACACTTTCTGTTAAGAAAATATCAGTCACGAGAAGTATCCTATATTAGTGGTATTAATAGGATGCTTCGACACGCAGGGCTCAACTACGCCAGGGCCTTCGATTCTGGGTTGCATACCTCCAGTTAGTACATGCCGTCTGTTCAATTTATGCGCTTGACATTTTCAGGGCCACCCAAGTGGTCGTTTATTTTCTGCAGGTACCACACATCAGTAAGCGATGTCCAGCAATTACCAATCATTTCTGTTCATGTGCCATCGAGAATCATCCGTTCCCGCTCGATTTCTTGCAAGCTTAAGGTCGAAACCATCCCGCAGGTACTACTCGCTGATACGCAACGTCCAACAGCAGCGGTCAGCAAAGTGAATACCAGAGGATTCTCCACACAGTCGCTGTCTCCTTCATAAACGGAGTCTGCTCCTGCGCCCTTCGTCAGTGATCACTTTTCGCGTCCTTACATTTCTGATACGGCGATACCAGAAAAGCAAATGCTAAAGCTGACGGAATGCAGCTAAGTGGGTATTCACTGGTAGAAATTATTATTGAAATCACACCAAACATTTAAGTAATTGAGCAAATCAGCTGATTTTTAAGCATAAAATGATTTGAAACGTTGTGAAGTAATCACAGAATTGGAAAAGAAACCATCGGCTCCGATTCGGTAGTCAAATGGAAGAGCAAAAACTGCGCCGCTGAACCTAAACAGCAAACGATTTCATTCCACACACAACAATTTTATCTGAATGATCAAAAATTATGTTTAGCAATTCGGCAACAAATTTTAACTGTTGGAAATTGAGCATTTGAAAAATAATTTTTGCAACTCTTGTTTAGTAATATAAGTGGGAATGCTCCCAGAGCTCGGATTATCTATGTCAGGTCCTCCGATCCTAAGCTGCACTTCTCCGATTAATACCCATCGCCTGTTCAATGTGTGTACACTATCGTCGGTTGACACTGGTGAGTTTTTTCTTTCCTAGATTGGCAGTACTATTGTAATAGTCGTAACAGTGATAATAACATGAAGAAAGAAAAATAATAACACTAACAAACCTACGCAGAATGTCAAAAAACATTGCCTTTTGGAAAGACTCAGCTTGATACGCTAACTGAATGTGATATGAACTCCATCTAATCACTTATTAAGAGCAACTGAGTGTATCATAAATGATGTAAAATAAAAGAGGCGAAAATCTTTTGTGCATAAATGTGTCATAACTTTCCACCTTTACGTTAAAAAAATTTGGCTCCGTCACTGAGATAACCAGTCTCTCTATGGTTCGTTTCGTTGGTAAATTTGTACTGGCTTATGTTAGGAAAACGAATCCGTCATTAACTTGCTTCTAAGAAACCCTTGGAAAAAACAGTTTTCAACAATCTCGTCAGCGAATGGTTGCTGTTGGCACTTGCTACCACTCGGACTACTTCTAGGTGCTTCCACTTCTCACAGAAAACAAACAGATGAGATTTTGACTTAATTATGAAGTATTATTCTTCATTATGCTATCAATTTTTAGATTCAAAGCAATTTTGACTTCTGAATAATCACAACAGAAAAACTTACTGTGATCATTTACTTGTGTTGTTAAAGCGCGTACAGCCTCCACTAGTGTGCAGTCTTTAGCAAGTTGCTCACGAACGGCTTCATCCTTGATGGCAAACATCAAGAAATCAATCGTGTTCTTCACTATCTCCACTTCTTCACAACCCAGAAGCAAATCCCAAGCTTGAAAACTGCTGCTAAAATGCAGTAAAGTTTTAAAAAAAATGTGGAAAACTTAAACAATCAGCCCGTCAGTAAGTTTAGATACTACTGATCCACTAAAAACTCACTAACTGACCAATACCCAGAGAAGTTAATGACCAATTGAGCGCCTTCGAGGAAGTGACACATATACTTCAAGCAGGCGATGAGTAATAACTAAAGGTATACAGCCAAGCATATGGCCAGATATTTGTTGCCTGGTGTGTAGTAGCGCTAGCGTAAGATACCCAAAGAGACTGCCGTAGTGCTATTGATATTCTTAATATGAGTAATACAGAAGCGAGACTCACACCTATGCTTGTGAGAATGAGGCTTACATCTAGCAAAACTGACTCAGTTGATAAAATTGCCATGCAGAATGAAACTCCAGACAAGAAGAAGCCATCTCATTTTACAGAAGATCGCATAAAGAGACGTACCATGCGTATCGAATTGCATTACCAAAGTTTGTGTTACAGTTCGCCAAGGAAACTAATAAGTTGTAAGCTTTCTGAATGACACATTTCTTCTGTGGATTCGTTTTACCATTACCCTGCAATTATAAGTAAAGTTATGCAAAAAAGTCCCAACACTCACCTTTGAATAGAAAGAAAAACTCTCTGCGTCCAGTGCGATTCGAGGAAAAGAAGACGCAAGTTTTTTGATACAAGTTCTTGTGGGTATTAAAAAATGCAACTTCTCCCCAAGTTATGCCTATGTACCTATAGCTAAGGAGTGGAAAATGTCTCACAGAAGTGGTCTACTTGTTTTAGCGAAAAACCGTTTCCTTTCTTTCTTTGCTATATACTATTTTTCTCTTAACTATTTTTTACACTGATTTAATCTTCATTTTCCTCAACCTTTTACTACCCCTGTTCTTTAACAATCCATAAATATTATTTCTTTTTAGAAAAATTTGTAAAAGAAAAAACAGCCTTATCCACTCTTAAAAAAGCCAAAATACCTCGACAGTATTAGCAGTAGTAGCTATAATTTCGAACAGGACTTCGGTTAAGGAATTATTATCAACATTGATACTAAGCAATATTGGAGGATGATTGAGTTGATCAGCGTCCACTACCCGTAAGAATAGCTGAAATATTTTTTCTCATTTGCAGAAAAAAGGTACAAATGACGAAAGTTGCTAACACAGCTCAATTCAATCAGAAAATATAGAAAAAAGTGATAGGCAGACTGAGGTCATTCCCGATTTGGTAGCGTGAAAACTGACCCCATCACGAACATATTTCGATGATGAATTGGTATTGCAAATGTGCCGTTTTAGAACGCATTAACTTTTGGAGAGGTTGAAGAACGTGCTGCCGGTTATACTATCTTTCATAAATGTGTGACTTACATTTATAATGTGTATACGAGCTTTAAGATCCACAGCATGAGCAAGTTCGTAAAGCAACAAAGCAGGAGCTCCTTCTGTTGAAATTAGCTGGAACACAAGCAACATTAAATATAATAGACAAACTGAATGCAAAGGACTTATAAACAAAATGGAAGGATTTATCGGAGATGAAAAACTTCAAATAACAGTTTCCCCAAAAAAATATGAATTCGAGAATACACATTTTCTTGAGCACTTTGAGAAATCAAATCATCTTTTTTTAAAACTTTGTGCTCTTTGTTTTTCCGGAGACCGACTTTTGAGAGCAGGTACATACTAACGAATATGTATGAATAGTAATATTGATAATAATAACATAGTAATATTGATAATAATAACAATAATACCGGCTTACCCTTTTTCGGACATTTATATTACGCTCTGGCGATGAGCATCCACCGGTAAAAACATGCAACGAGAATAGCAATGATGAGATTAAATTTTTGACCACCACTTCATCCCGTCTCTTGTGATATGTGGATAACAGATTGATTATACCTTCAATAATGCCACAGTCCGCAATGAAATCCTTAAAATTTAATAAGGCAAATTTGTAAGAAACTTCATAAGTTTGGAGGCGAAAAATGTCTATAAAATGGACGAAAAGAAAAAAGTTTTTATAAATCCTGGAACGACTGCATATGGATTAAAGCTCTTGGTACAACAAGTATGCATATGTGAGCACCCTATGCATATATATCACCCGCTAGGTGGTGTAATTTCATTGTGGTCTATGAATGGAAACGTTCAAGACAAGATGGTAATGCCCAATTAGTGATAATGACATTTGAGAAGGCTAAAAGCTTGCCAGATGCTTCTGTTGAGAGAATTGTTGATTCGGTAATTCTTTCAAAAGAAGAAACGGACATCAAAGACGGCGCGATGCAGCGCTGATCAAAACTGTGGAAGTGAGAAGTTGCAAGTATAAAATGCTCCAGGTATTCCAAGGATGTATTATGCTTGCATATGTGTTGTGTGGGTTGTGTGGGTGTTGTGTGTTGTGTGGTAGATATATGCGTTTGAATGTAAATATATAAGTGTATATGGATTCCAAACATTCCGATTCAGGGTTCCTTTTTCTATTTCTTATTCCACTTATTACTGCTTATTACTGTAATTAATTAGATTAATTATCATTTTTGGACCAGTTATCATAATTAATCGTAATCTAATGAATGTATGTTTGTATGTCTGCATGCATAAAAGAAAGTCTTAATATATGATAAAAGCGCAAAATACCTTGTTAGGATTTGTACTTCCATCACAGCTGGCTGATATATTGCCAAGAAAATCGAAACCAACAGTCAAGAAAAATGGGTTATTCCGAAAAGTACCCATCATGCTTAATGATCGGCTAATTGTCTCACGCATATCGGCATTCCGGACTTCATCCACATCGCTAACTACCCGTAGACACAACATTACATCTAATGCCACCCGTTCGGAACAATTTGGATTTGCCAAAAGATATGATATCGTCTGCAATATTATTCCGTACATCACGTGTCAAAAAAACAGTTAAAAGACCAAAGATTATAGGCCGAAATATTCATCGAACATAGGCGTATGGAAAACTTAAAACCGAAGTCGACGGCATAGATGTTGGTTACAGCATCGAAAAACGTTGCGACTATGAAACAGTGATGGGATAACCCAAGTGAAAGCATGTAACAGCAATAATCATTCGCTGGCGAGGATATCATAGCTGCATTTTCAAGGTTTGCTCGGAATCAAACTGTTAGGCACATAATGCGTTCGCCATCAAAACTAATAAGCGAAGTGCAGGAAAACTGTTTTCTCCACTAGCCAAGCCCAGCTTTTGACATCCACCACCTCAGTATTAAATGATACACCACCTCAATGATAGTGGATGGCAAGGGCGCCAAGCCAAACAGGCTGTGAATAGTTTGAAAAAAAAAAAAAACATCGAGCAGACTATAAAAAGATGATGAAAATATGTAGTAGAATCGTAGATTGAGTGTAAGGAGATCAGTTTAGAATACATTTGAATTAGCTGAGATGTGTAAATGGCTGCATCGCAATAACTTCAAGAATTGTTTAAGGTATGGAGTGCACCGCGATAAAATCGGCAGTTCGCACAATCGTGAACAATATTCAATGCTCACATCAGCGATAAGGTCATTGGAGAAGTTATGGTCAGCTACACATTTTTTTTCGAGTGATGATGGTGGGCTTCTTTTTTTTAAGTCACTCATAGAATCAATGTAGTCGTTTTACTCACCCTAACACCATCAGACCTGACAAATTTCGTAGCAAAAGAAGAATCCGTGGAACAGATCATTGCAAAAACTGCTCGGACGATCCTGTACACCACTGATTCATTGGACTCCTTCTTCAGTAAACCAAGCAAAAGCTGAATACCACCTTTCGATTCAAAAGTATGCTGAAAATTTTGTTTCTTTATATCCCGAATTTTATATGTTTATTCCAAAATTTTTAGCAAAGTCGTATTTGAATAGGTTTAATAATTCACACTTCATAAAATCCTAAAAGCACGACAAAAATTTGAAATTTTGGCTAAAATCGAATTTAAATTTGATATAAAAGGAAAACACAAGAAAAGTTGTGGAAAAATAGAGAAATACAAAATTTCGACAGAAATATAAAAGAATTCACAGAAAAATTATTGAAAAAACTGTGAAATCGCGGAACATCGGGGAAATTTTATTTTTTTTTTTCTAACTAATACTTTTGGAAATATATTGGGAATCTTCAATCTTAGCAGCTATTTTTCGAAAATATCTGGATCGAAAACAATACCCTCCACATATCGATACCGTTGTAAACCCGTCGAGCAAGATCAAATACATATTGCTTGGACTTGTATGTTTTCATAAAGTACTGATCACCGTGATTGTCAATTTCTTTCATCACAGCAACCGTCCGAGAAAGAATCTGAAAAAAAGTAAGCTTAACCGAAAACTTTGAAAATTTAACATTTTCGCGGCTAATAGTTGTGGATGCAAAAATATCACTAGAAGCATTACGCAGTGAACAAAAAGCACCTTTTCAAACGACTCTCGCGAAGTAGCCCAGCAAATCCATGCGTAAACGCATTACTATTGCCCAAAGACACTAGCGATCGTGCTTTATCAGTGACCACGCATCGCATCCGTTTGGCATTTACTTAGCTTATACTGAACATTTGGAAAAAGCACCAACTCACTTTCTCACGAAAGCAGCTTTTTTTTTGAAAGAAATTATGGAAGGAAAGGAATCAACCACTCGTCTTCATATTCAAACGCGATATGCTAGACCACTGCACCGCTGGCCCTCGTGCTTCAAGCACTTGGTGGAGCACCTATATTCTGCATGTACTGTACCACATACACATACTGCATTGTTTTTGTTGCACATTGTGGGGCACACCCTTTCAACAACTGCTGGCTTTTCGAGGGTTTCCGAGCAGGCTTGGTCGAGAAATATATTATACCTGTTCTTTGATATTTTTCCCATATCGGTTTCGATCCACCATTCCAACCAAAGAATGAACGGTATTTAAAGCATATTTGCATGATTTTTGCGTTGGCCTGCAAATATTTTGACTGATCCAAGTTCTAACGTATGAAGTTCTTTTAGGAAGTCTAATTTTGAAAATTCAGCGTTCTTCACAGGTATAATATCATTATGATTAGTTCATTCTTGCCTCTCTCACCTCGAAAATGAGATAGGGAAACCTCAGGCATGAAATGAAGCAACGAATTTGTACTGGAATCTTTTATTTTGCTATCGGCAAGTTAGCTCAATTCTCAAAAATCTCGAACATTCATTTGGCATATTAGATCTATTTTCAAAAATCTCGGAAAATACCTCATCAAGTTCACATGAATTCAAGAACACATTAAAATTCGAGAAATTTTAAAAAATTTCAAAAGTTCCAACAAATATGCTTCAAAATTGAGATTTTTTGCTGAAATATCGGCTAAAAACAACGGTCTCGTGAGAAGACACAAAAAACTGCACTTAATGATACAGTAATTTGAAGTGGGTCCAAGACGGTAACCTCATATTATCTTCGAAATTTCTCTTGTCCTTATCCTTGAATTACTCGAGCTACAAGACAGGTTTTTAATTTTTCTATTTAGTTTCCCTCGTTTTTTGGTCTTTAATTGTTTTTTCCATTTAATTTTTTCATTCGAACTTTTTGTAAAAAAAAGGATTTAAATGCTTACACCATCCAGCGAACGAATGTTTCGAGCAACTCATCCGGATAATGTGTCATCCACTAAAAATGCCAAAATTAACTGACATTTGTGCAAAAATCTACATATGCACGAAAAATTCTGCATGGTGCTATGAAAATTGTAACTTTCTTCGGAATTATACTAGAAGCGTAATAAACTTCGTTTATGTATTACGAAAATGTAAATTTCTACGTAAGCTTTGTATTTTGTGGCCAAATACAACACGTCAGCCAGAACCTTTAGCCTCGACTTTTAGTCGACAGTATCGTCACAAAACACGGGAAAACGCAGATCTGCAAATTTTGGATAAATTTTCATCTGACAAAAGAATTTTTCAATCGAAATTTACCCTAGTCATTATTTGCTTCGTTTTACCATCGGCTGAGAAACGGGACATTATTCGTAGTACCATCTCCACTGTCTGAAATGGTGTACTGCAGTAACGGGTCCAGGAAGCAAGGAATAAGCTTTGCTTTGAGGGAAATTTAGGGAGCTACTGAAGGTGACGGAGTATTTTTGTTAATTCTCGAAATTAAGATAAAAACTTCTTTCTTGTTCATAAGTTAGCAATTTATTGGTCAGCTGAATGGTATGATAAAATTCTGGGAGAAAATTAGTATACGTGAGTTAGTAGTGTGATCTGAGTTAGTAGCGTTATTTTCCTTCTTTTTCCCATAAATTGTAAATAGCGATTAGCAGCAAGTGGCCGTTACGAAAATGTTTTTGCGCAATCCTGCCTTATGAAGCTAGAACGATACTAACTTCGTGCTGACTTTCAAACAGTAATCCAGGCATTCAAAGGATTTTAAGATGTGGAAAAAAAGACTTACCTCATCTTCAGTATCATTCTGTCGTAGCCACCTGTGTATCACAGTTTTCATCATTTTTTCCAGTTTCTCGGTATTAGCTCGCTCGAAATCATTCCTTGTTGCCATCGCGAATATTGCGCTGACCATTTGCTGCGCAACATTCTGCAAGCACACTTTACAAGCTCAAATAAATTCGGAACATATCCAGCTTGTTCGTAAAGTGCTTCATAAAAGAGGGAGTTGTCGACAATCGCACCACGAGTGGCTACTATTACAAAAGCAATACTCAAGCATTCCGTTTCTCAGTGAATGTAAAATGCATTTCAGATTGTACCAAGATGAGGAGAGGTTGTAAGAAGGAGAGGGGAATGAAAGGGCGAGGAGGGCTTCCAACTTTTTCGAAAGCATCCCACAGAAAAAATCACCGGCAGTGTTACCAACGAGTGGCTGCTGTTGTCAGAATGTTAATAATTATGCTAGAAGGAAGCGAGGTAAGACAGCTTTTCTAACACGATCCAAAGCATTTTGCAAAAAAGAGTTAACGACAGTTATGCCAGCGATGGTTGCCAAAAGTTAAGAAGAGTAGGCACGCCTTTTCGAAGCCTATTTTAGAATAGGATGAAGCGAGGTTGTTAAGAGCAGGAAAGGAGAAAGTCCCCACCTTAATTCTAAAGCAACGTGAAAAAAAGGGAGTCACTGACAATAACATCAGCGAGTGGTTGCTAATGGTCAGTTGCTGGTACCTAAGCATTTCTTTCCTCACTTTTTTTCTGAAACAAATTTTGGATCAAGTTAGGAGAGCAACAAGAGCTAAGGTAGGGGAGCGAGGGCTGAGGTAAGGCGGGAAAGAAGAGTTGATGAATCAAAGTATATTACTGTATAGTTAGTTTTCTTGGAACATGAGTTTTACTCGTGTTGCCCATATTTTACACCAATCTTTATGAATAAGTTAATTTTAGAGCAAAAAATTTGCCCTAACCTTATCAGTGTGATTGATGTTAGTCGTAATTTTGTCGATATACTTGTTAAGCGTTTCAACAAATTTGGTTTGAGCCGGATGTACGTTTTCAACGCATGATGAGGATGATGAGGGTGTCGACGGATGCTGCTGTTGTTGTTGTTGCTGCTGCTGCTGCTGCTGAGCTCGCTGAAACTTAGTTCCACAGTTCAAAAATTAGTTAGAGAATGGATTTCGTTCGAAAGCAAAATTCATTCAAAATTCCCCGAAACGATTATGAAGAGGCAATTTCTTAAAAAGGTGATAAAGAGGCAAAATTTCTCAGAAAAATCATAAAGAAGTAAAATTCCCCAAAAGGTGAGAGAATAGCAAAATTTCTCAAAAGGGTGATAAAGAGGAAAAAATTTCTCAAGGACTTTATAAGTTCAGCTTAAAGTGTTAAAATACTTTGAAAAAACACTAAGTTCGGGTCAAACTGAAAAAAGCGTTTGAAATGATACGCGATTTGGACTGATTGATTGGGGCGCTTTTGTCTTTTTCCGAACGCTGGTTCACCATCGATAATTAAAATCAGGAGAAATCCGAAAGTTTGAATTTGCAGGCTAAAGCACTGAATCAGTTGAATAGCTCAGGTAAATAGAATTCTATGCTAATTATTTTGTGAAGTTTCGAAATTGAACTCCTCTCTGAAGAACAGCTGAATCACCGAAGCCACTGGTACTGGTGAAGTATGTTGTTTCAAGAAACTCGAAAAAAATACAGTTTTTTAAAAAGTATACATAACAAAAGTTAAAAGTTGACAACGATACCAGGTCAGCTAGTTGTCTTATTTCGGTGAGTTGTGTGTTGATACTCAATAAGCTCATATCTTCTGTGGTTCCACTGATATTGCTTAAATGAGAGATCACAGACGACGGCTGAAAATGCAATAATTCTTTATTAAGATTTTAAATCATAAATTAATCACTTGACTCCTGCCCGAACAAAACGTCTAATTAGTACCTATTTCCGCATACAAACATTTGAGAGATATCGCAATTTTTTCTTCAAAAGTAATAAGCAAAAACATTAAAATGAGTGCAAAAAAGAGTACCGCTGAGCTTGGCCTGTACTGGCCCTGAGCATAATTCATGAACCGATGATCATTCATCCAGGCTCGAGTATTTATCATTTTCCTGCTATCAACACCTGCTGCCAATAAACCATCTCCAAACGGATTTGGATGCGGTGATGGTTGTTGCGGTTCACATTTTACGGGATTTCTTGGTGGTGGTGCTGGATATTGCAATCTGGATCTCATTTATGGATTAAAAACTCAAGGAGTTAGGTGATGTTTGGACAAAAATAATAGTGTATTTTATGTGAATGACTATTTGAAGTGTTGAAACAGGGTATCTCCGCACCTGGCAGAAAACACATTTACAGCTCAAGCTGAAGGATTCTTAAGAAAGTTAAAAGAAGATTCAATTATCAGGGATAACAAAATTTTTATTTTAAAATGCCAATCAAGAACACCAACACTGCTCCGGTTATCGAAGTTAATACCCATTTTAATGATTTTACTGGGACTGCTTCGACATGCTAGGCGTAACTATACCAGGCCTGGACACTCTCGCATTATACTTCGGAAAATTCGAGTTTTGCGTCTCAGACTTCATCAAGTGCGAAATTTAGCCGAAGAGATATACACCATACTTCAGACAATTAGCACGATTTCTGACATATAGATTGAAAATAACAGATTTTGGCAAAAATTACAAAACTTAGCTCAGGAAAATCACAGCGAGTAATTCTACTTTAGAAAAAATAAATGAAATATAATATTCGACAAACAGACCGAAAAGTAAAATTTGGAAAATGAGTGCGAAAAAACCCAGTGACTATTTGCAGTTTTTACAATGCAGAATCAGGGAATTTAATTTTAAATTAGGCAAAATTTCATCATTTTTTGTCGATATAAACATCGATCATTTTAGGTTCGCATAACACAGATTTTAAATCTAAAAAACAAATGAATATCAATTTTTTCAAGGTCTTTTATTAAGATCATGCACACCAGCACCTTACGCGAGAGCGAATTTTGCGCTTGTAAATTCGCAGTGGGCCGGGAACAAATTCATAACTGGAAACAACCTTATAGAAACTATGGTTGCTGGGTTGATAGTGGTTGGCAAAATTCGAACACACACAGGCACCGCCAAACTCTCGTCAACATGCGTTTCTGCATTCATCAGACATGCATTTTTCAAAGCTGCCTTGAAAATCAGCCAGTTATTTTCGCCATCAATCTTTCATAAAGGATCACCTTGGCACCGGATAATTGGATGACATCTGTGGATCACATAAAGCACCAGGATAATATGGATACGGAATGTTTAGCGGTGGTCCGTGGGAAGTGGACGGTGATTGCGGATCATACGGAGCGGGAATTTGTTGTGGCTGTTGTTGTTGCCCGAATCCATATGGTCCACTGCACGATCTCTCCATGCCCAGAACCAGTCGTGATTATACTGTAAAGCTCCTGAATTTCTTGTTGTTAGCAGAAAATTATCTTTAAAAACGCTCGGAGTGTGCTGCTGTAGGGGCAGCTGTCGTTTTCACTGTACTGTAGCTGTACGTGTCCAGGATGGTGGAACATGAAAAAGCGATCCGAGAATGCTAATGTTCGGCCTGTTTTAAACTGCTATCTCTGCTAGGCACATTGGTTCGATCTATCGGAGATCAACCAAGTGATTGCTTATATCTCACGATTACAATCCACTGGCATGCTTGGAATTTTTAGTTTTTTTTTTTTTTCAGGATTATCACTCCCTGGCACATTTTGAAGTTTTATTGTACATTAACATGAGCGTTAAAATATATGCATATGATACCCTCGAAACGGCTAAAAAAAGATACTTCTTTCGAGGGAACCGCTGCGATGGTAATTTCTACAAAAGATATAGTGAACTACAGGTTAGCCAGAAGGCTAACCATCAGTCGATTTAGCATTGGTCAAAGCAGGCGAAACAGTAGCCAGCTATGTACTGGAATAACCAGTCTGTGAATTATATCTAATCAAGCTACAGTAACGAAAAATTTTGGTCTTGTAAAACAGCCTTAATTTTGAAATCCAAAAATCATTTGAATAGCTAGGGCTTTTCAGTAAAAAAAATCGGCTTGTTGAAAAGAAATCCTGTTTTTCAAACGTTCACAGCATCACTAAACGAAGATTCTTGAAGAAAACTGAGTATGGTTACAGAAAACTGAAATAAGCCAGAAAACAGTGTTTTTCAAAAAATCAAGATTCCCTCCGTATTCGCCCTTAATGAAAAACGAAGGCATTAGATAAGTGGCTCAAGTGATAACAAATGTCAGCAGCAACCATTTTTTGGTAAGGCTGTCGATGGTCTGAGTCTTCCTTCTGAGTATGAGGAACTAAGACACCTTTGTCAATCTTCTTTGAATATAAACCTGAGAAAAAAGCTTTTACCATTTTATCAGTGACAATCGCTAACCAGCAGAGTTGTAGATAGCCTCCCTTTTCGAGGTTTGCTTATTAGCAAGTTGATAGCGGGTTTAGTATCATTACATATGCCAGTACCAATTTATCACCGGAACGAATGAAAAAATTGTCCCAAGCAAAATGAGTGTAAGGCAAAAGGGCAAAAAAAACGTGAGTTTAGCGACAAAAAAATTTCTCAAATTCAAAAAAAATTTTTTTTTGAAATTTGAAATAGCTCAATTGCTTTGCCCATTTATTTGCGCTCCATCATCCGTTTTCGCTAATGATCCCCAATTCTCCCTCCTCCATTCTCCCTTACCTTCCGCCGCTCATTCCACTCCCTCAAACCACCTCCTTCCTCCTTCCCTCCAAATAGATCCATAGTCGTACGCGTGTACAATCAGTGTGCCTGATCGCTCCGATGATTGAACAGCAGCTCAGAACAATGGCGATTTTACACATTATTTCAAGAAAACCAACAAAATGTCACAAGTAGTCACACATACAATCGCTTAACAGTCAGATACACATACACAGAAAAACACACACACACACACGCAAACACACATACTGACACACACACACATACAGTGTATACATTCATACATATACTGACAAACAGATACACAAAGACACACACTTACATACATCCACACATACACAAACGACAGACACGCGCGTACATGCGCACTTACAGATGCATACACACAACACACATGCATAATAATTTTTTAAACTTGATCCTTACAGTTTGAGCATCTTGCTTACTTTCCTGACAGCAATGGAAGTTGCTGCGAATTTACGGTACTAGAAGACTAATATAAGCAACAATTTTGACTTTATTTGTTAATCTACCATATTTGAATTCATTTTTGACGTCACTGAAGAAAAAGATTCAGAAATTGCGTTAAAAATAATTCAGGGGAAAGAGATGTACTGTAACAAGGGAAGAATGCAAAGCAAGCATTTCTGTTCGGAAAAATGAAAGGAAAAAGCAGGGGAAACGATCGCGATTATTGCTCAGTAATACAACTTCGAAAAGCACAACCATGAAAAGGTTGTAATGTGTGCACAAAGATATGCTATGCTGATGAAACGACAGCTAATCGAAGCATCAACGCAATTATGATTCTGTTAGCGATCCAAAACAAAGTTTTGCTCCACCGAATAAAATAGCTGTTTAATTAATGACCGTAGCAGCTTCCTAATCGGTAGAGGGGGTGAAGCTAAATGCTAAATGACGCTCAACATACACCGACTGCATTCCGAAACCCTGTCAAACGCTCATAACAAGGGATCCACTATGCTGATAATCCAAAACTAACGTCAGGATTGGCAGGAAACTGAATATAAAGCGATGCAAAATTGGTCAAAGTAACAGGAAAAGTTTTCAGTTGCAGAGCTGGAAGAAACGATGTGGGCTGCAACTGACTTAAATGAATGAAAATGAAAAGAAATGAGAATAATAAGCAATGATAAGAAAGGAGAGTAATGACAATTATAACTCAAGCTAGAACGCACCATACTTGGTAGTGCGGTCATGCGTTTTTGCGTTAATACTTGCACATCCCTTACAGCAAGAATGGTACATGCGCTGTAATTTAATACTTGGATTCATACTGGCTATTTTTTGATCTTTTTTCACATGCGGAGGAAAGGGGCGTCGACTGGGATGCGGTGTTGCATTACAGAGCCACACGGACTTTCAGCACATATGATTACCACTTTTTGCATGAAGCCCGGTCGCTTCCCGAAAAATGCTCATGCACTGAAAGAAAATTTGAAGAGAGTCGAGAGGGGATTAAAAAATCTGCAAAATGCATTCACTTTTGGATTTGTGATAAAATTGAGTATTCTCACCCCCACGGAATTTCACCTCCAAACTGAATTAACGTGATAGTAGAATATTCCTGTGAAGTTTCAGCTTCACACCTTATCCGATAAGCGAAATAGACACCTCGTTACAAATATCGTTGAAGTGCCTTAAGTCGTGATGCAAGTGCAAATCAGGAATTTTCCGTAGAAACGATAAGTATTCTGACAAAATTTCAGCCACTGTTTTCCGGCTAGCTTTCGAATTAGCGCAGTGCCAAGTGACCGTACGCGCTGCACAAGTGTGTGCTGTGACTGAATTTAAAATCTTTATCTTAAACAAGCACACAAATATCCCTACAAAGTTTCAGCTTTCTATCTTGCCTGGTCCCCAAAATCGTCTCTCGTCAAAGAAATTTGCATATTTTTTGGGGGATTTATACGTGAAGTCTAGACGCGTACGAGCGACGACTTTAAAACGAGAGGGGGGGGGGGGGGGGGGGGGGGG